ACTAGAACACACCTTATGGTTTTACATATTTACTTAAACCTAATAGTTTTCATTTTACTAAAACATCCCATATATTTTACAACTTATTTACTTATTCAACCTTTCATTAAGGAGTGTTTGTTTTTCCATTAGGCCCATGATTTTTTATTCCAAAAGTACCCTTAACACTTTTTTGTATAGAAAACAAAATTGACCAAATATATCCAATAGAGTGGTTTCCCGTATCTTATTTAAGGGCAAAAATAGTATTTTTATTTTTATTTTCTTTTAATTAAATTTATTTAAATGAACATTGGGATCAACACTGTCATTTTCCACTGTCATCTAATGGAAGATTGATTAAATCCATTACAAATTATAGGTGATGTTTTAGTAAAATGCTAACTATATGGTAGATTTTAGTAAATCCATGAAAGTATAAAGGGTATTTTAGTAATTGACCTTTTTTTATTATTTAGCTTTCGCTTAATAAATCTCGTGCATCCCACTGACCCAAACTTTCACAATGTTCCAAATATGTCGTGTAAGCGGTTCAAGAAAAAGGAACTTACATTCTTAGCAGTGCTCTCTTGGTTATTGACAGGTTGATTTGAATCCGATTCAGGTCCATACCCATATTTAGTGGGTTCGATGAGCAGAAAGATCCATATTTAAAAAAATAATAAATAAATAATTCGCTCCAGACTGCAGGAGTGTAGGTCCAATGTAAAGGTTCCAATACATGTGCGCATCTCAATCCGCATTAATTGTGAGCATGCTGTTCAGTTTTCTTAATCGAAACTGGGTTCCATCTTTGGAGCTACATCTTAGCTTAATTGTTCTAATGAGACTACAGGTGAAACCTTCTTATATTATCAAATGCATATTCATAAATCCATACGGTTGTTTATAATTAAGTACGTGTTAATGTTGTTTAAGTGATGAAGTAAAGCTGCAACTTGTTTCAATAAACAAACAAATCAAAATGTCTTCTATTTGAGTTTCATGGCGTAGATCTAAAGTCATCTCAATCCCTGTAGACTGCAACTTGGGTGGGTCAAACTGAGAACGTTCCAAGTTCCAATCTGAGTTTTTGCATAGTTTGGGATTGAATTCTTGGGCTTTGGCCTGGGCACGCATTCATATACAAATACGAATGTGGTAACCAATCAACTGGTATCATAAGGTGGTAACCAGTCAGGTGGTATTTATCAAAATGATTTTGATTGACCAAAGTTCTTCCAGTATTATGCCTTTCTTGCATAAAAAATTGTCTTATGAAGCCCCATTGAAAGATGGCTGGAAAACATGAATTAGAAACCTTTCAGACCTGACCAAGCCCGACCTGAGTTGTGTTTGGTTTAGCTCAGGTTGAGCTTGGGTTGGCATAGTCTTCACTCTTCAGCTTTGAATAGGGCTAGGCCCAGACATGAGGTTTTGGATTTGGATTTGGACCTGAAGCCTGAGTAAAGGGGTGGTGCAACAACTAATTTGGTTTGATCACCAGATAACTATGTAGATTTCTCTTGTATTGAGACTTGAGATGCCATGAGAGCCAATGTTAACAACTCTAGCTGTTTACTTATAATCACTACTGGATTTAAATCTTCCCTGGCTATGAGAAGTGGACCAAGTGGCAAACATATGGGTTGCTTCTGAGTTCTGACATACTAGTAGACACCTTGCTATCCATTGGTACATGTATGATAGCTGGGCCACAGATCTTTTTGCAATAATATACTAGGAGAGCGGAGAGCCCATAGACGGCATTAATAATAAAAAAAGAAACTTTAATACAAGAGGCCAGGTTTCGGAGGTGGGAGAGCAAAAGTAGGAAGAGAGACATTAGAGAAATTTTCAAGATGAAAAAGGAACGGGAGAAGGAATGTTGGGGAAGTTTTAAGAGTTAGAAATATAGGGTTTTTCTTTTTCTTTTTTATTTGTTAGGGGGGGGGGGGGCAATTTCATAGTGGACCTGAATTCAGAAATATATGGAATTTAAGGGTGCTTTTATCACAATTAATGACTGGATTTTAAAACCGAAACCGTTTAAAATCTGCAAAATCTCAACCGCCAAACATGAGGTCCTGAAATTATTTTGAAACAGAGGCATCACAAAACACAGATATTCCTCGATTGAAGAACTACAAATATGAAGGTTCCTGAATCTGCAATTGAATTTGTGAGATTTAAAGCCGGCCCTTTGGCCTATTGTATTTTTGCCCTGTAGTCCAAATGGTTACTAACCCTTCTCATGCGGGAAAAAAAAAGGAACAAACAGTCCGATATCTATAGCAGAAATTGGCTTGCAACAGAACCTGCATGAGAATAAAAGGGGGATTTATCTATATTCTATCAACTCTGATGTGTTTTTCATTGGTCATAGCAAGTTGCACTATATCTTTAACCAAGAAACTTTAAACATAACATAGGTCCATCTTTCCACACAGAACATTCTTTCAATCGCGTGAAAATCGAACCTGATTGGCTGATTCAACTACATTGACTCGGTGCAAAACAGATCTTTGGCATTGAAGCCAATTGAAACGGGTATTCACAGAGAGAGATTCTAATCGGCATGATTTGTCCACTTGTGAATAGGAAAGCCTTGGTGGAGAATCCGCAGTCTTCATTGCTCAATACACTTGATACAGAAGGATGTACGAGCGAAGCTCAGTAATCACTTAATACCTTAACCTGTCCGATTTTTTGGCATCTACAAACATGAAAATCCTGGCATTTTATCTCAAATCAAACCCTCAACTTTAGCCGGAACCCCAAATGGTTGCCTGGCCATCTGAGATGACAACACTTCCGTCATCATGCCCATCAATTTGTTTCTTCCCTCTTCAAATCGTAGATGGTCATTCTTCCTATTCTCTTCGACATGTCCCATTTGCATTTGTGCTGCTTGGGAAATCATTCCACCAGCTGCATTATCCAATATTTTGGTTCTGCCATTCTCCAAGCCACTCTTAAGCCAAGCTATGTTGCTTAGATCTGTTGCTATTGAAGCCAACTCATGACTTGAGAAGGGTGGAGGTTCCACAAAATCAACAAACTCAGGCCCCAGCAAAGAGCTTTGAGAATTCCCTCCACTCTGAGCTCCATTCTGAGTCCCACAGCAGCAATACCCACATCGTGGTGGTACCAAGGGATCACCACAAACATCACCTTCAAGCAATTTGCATATCCCAAAATCTGGTTTTGAGGGTTGAACCAATGGCCCATGCAATGGAACTGCACCAGATGAAGATCTAATTGTAGGTCCATCCACAGGATTGTAGAGGCTAAATGCACTAACACGTGCCACTGGACGGAAGAGGGTAGGTGGATCTTTTGCTTCAGCACTTCCATGATCCTCTTTTATTTGAGCCTTGTCTTCATACTGGTTTGATATGTTCTCCAGGGAGTTGACATCTTTTCCATCCAAGGACTTGAATGAATTGACATCTCCACATGACAGTGTTTCTTCAGAGGATGCTTTAGTTTTGTCAAGGCTGGCTTCTTCCACCATATCACCCGATGCTGACCTAAACCTGTCAAGCTCCATGCACCTGCGTCTCAGGGTAGAATTCCAGTGGTTCTTTATAGCATTATCTGTTCTCCCTTGTAAAAGCCTCGCAATTGATGCCCATTTGTTCCCATGAATTGCATGGGCTGCAACTATTATCCGATCTTCTTCATCTGCAAAAATATATGCCGTCAGCCTCTCCCCCCCTCAAGAAGAACAATTGAGGCATCATTTTGAAATGAAGACAACAATACCATCAAACAAATATGCATATGTTTGTAAAAGTATGAATCTGAACGGGTCCATATAAGACTTTTTTTTAATGATCACCTATTCATGGGGGTACACAACAGGGAGATAGCCCATCCCCCTACCTATAACCCCCTAACCCTGATGACAGTGGGATTTAAACCTATTAAAGAGCAAGTACATGGGGTCGATGAGATGGAGATAACTGCTGAGTTCGCAGAAACCTTGAGCTGCACTTATGGCAGTCTCTCTACAATTTTTTTTGGGTCTTCCTATTGGAGCAAATTACAAATTTAAGATGATCTAGGATCCATTCATTGAAAAAATTCATAGAAAATAGGGTATAAGCGTGATCTTATTTCCAAAGGGATTTATTCTCAAATGTGCTTTGTCCAATCTGCCCAATTGTTTTTTTTTTTTTTTGATGAATGAATATAATTTATTAAATCAGAAATATGAGGCATTATAGGAGACCCGAGAGGAGGCACGAGTTGTTACCTCTTCTAGCAAGTATTACATCAAATTAAAACAGAATTAACCAGAAATAAAATTACAGAGCAGCCCAAAATAAATGTTCCCTTGAAGCCCCTTGCTTAGCTAACCATCCACTAAGGAATTTGCTGATCTTCCCACCCAAAGAGAGGTAATAGTCATGTTTCTTGTGATCCAGTTGACTTTCCTTAACAGGTCTCTGTGTCGCCACATAGCTGAAGCTGGTTCTGTCAGCCATCCCACAACAATCTTAAAGTCCCCTTCAACTACCAAGTGCTGAACTCCTAATTGTTCTGCAATCTGAATACCTTGTACCACCGCTAACATCTCAGCTCCATTGGAGTCTCCTATTCCCACGGGGCCTGAAAACAATGCTAATATTTTGCTCTCATTATCTCTCAGCACCCCTCCTATCCTCGATGGGCCTGGGTTTCCTTGGCTGTTAGCCATCGCTATCCAGTTTCTCCAAAAATCATCAAAGGAGAATGAATGAAATAAGTCCATTGTTCTTAACCAATGAATGGCCCTAGTCAAGATACAGTCCTCAACAGTTTGAGTGCTTCTTTCCTCATCCTCGAATACCCTTGCATTCCTTTCCTCCCAGATTGTCCACAAGGCGGCTGCTCTAAGACATCTCCACATTATTTTTCCTCTTTTTGTAGGCCACACAAAAAAGGAAGGATTGAATAGCTGACTTAAAACTGTGGACAGACTCCACCTACACCCAAACAAAGAGAAGATCCAACTCCAAATAGCACTAGAAAAGGAACAAGATACAAGTAAGTCAGAGCAATCCTCACCACTAGCCCTGCAAAGTACACACCAATTAGGGGACAAACACAAAGAAGGCCTTTTCCTCTACAAGCAGTCCAAGGTATTAATCTTTCTATAAAACACTTCCCAGCAGAAAATAATAACTTCAGGTGGAACCGATCTAGACCATATCTCCTTGGTTGGAAAACCCCATTGTCCCTGGGAAGAGCAAAGGGATTTAAAAAAGGAAGCATAAGTGAAGTAGCCTTTTGGGATGGCCCAATTGTTTTCACTCTATTTTCTTTGGGATGGCCCAAATGAAGAAAAGAGATATCATCTAGTATATTGGAGTAAGGTCACATCATCAAAGGAAATGATAGGATGGAATTAAACAACTTCATGTGGTGAAGAAGGTTCTTTTGGTAAAATGGCTCTAAGATAAGGAAAAGAACCAAAAACACATTGAAGGTGGCTTGTTGAAATAAAATACAGGAATAAACATTTTGGATGGGATTCCAATCATGCCTCAAACTCCGTATGGATCAAGTGTTTGGAAGGATATCCTTATAGCAAATGCAAATTTCCGATAAATATCCCTTTTGGTGATGGAAGCCCAGTTCTCTTTCAGAAAACAAATGGTGTGAGAACCAGGCCTTTGTAAAGAATTCTCAAGCTCATTCAAAATAGCCAGAGACAAGACTGCTACAGTGATTGAATCTTACAAGGTCATTGCCATAGAGGTGGTATCGGTACCCCAACTCAGACAGAATGCCAACAATTGGGAGATAAATGTGTTATTCACATTGCTTAGTAGGATCCAATATTAAGATTTCAGTGGGTGGCATGAATAAAAGAGTTTGGTGCTTAGATCCCAAGGGCATCTTCTCAATCTCAGTGAACTTGTTCTACAAAGCATTTGTGAATGGCTCTAATGGAACTTTTCCTAGGTGTTGGATTTGCTCCTTTTACTTCCCCACTAAGGTATGCTTCTTCATTTGGGCCACCTAATTGAACCTATGTTTTAAAAGCGCAAGGGCCAATTTGCGCCTGAGGCGCAAGGTGCAAAGCGAGGCGCACACCTTTCTAAAGCAAGGCACAAAATACAAAAAAAAAAATCTAAAAAATAATGTCAGAAAAATCAAAAAAATCAAAAAATATTAAACATAATATTAATAAAAAATCTAAACTTAAATTTTAAAATAAATGTTTTATAAAACCTATTATCTAAAATTAAAATACATAACATAACATGTAAAAAGTATTCAAATGAAAATATAAAAATAAAAGCAAACATATAAAGCATTTTCAAGCATGTAAAACCCACAATCTATTTTTTTCTTCAATTGCATTACTTCAAGTAGCTAAGGTGATGTAAAACATATTGCATTCCTGATTCTACGAGCCGCCTTTGTACCATGCCCCTTGAGGCAAGTCCAAACAAGTCCATGTTAGGGTCTTAAATTCTTAATTCTCATATAAAAACAATGATTCTATAACTTTAATTGCCTTCTAAGAAGATATTTTATTAGAATGAATGAATGAACAGAATTAGCAAATACGGGGTTCAAAAAAAAACAAAGAAGCGTGAAATTTTCAAAACGTGCATGCTTGGGCTGAGACACAACGCACATCAGGCACATGCCTAGGTGCATCAGGTGTGTGTCTTTGAAAGGTCTGCACCTAGTACCTAGGCGCCTCACCTGTGTGCCCCAGGCGCGCCTTTTAAATCATTGAACCGAACAAGATTCTGACTATAGATAATCTCCCCATCAAAGGCAAGGTAGTGAACAACCAAAGTGTGTTGTGTTTCACCCATGAAGCCAGTTCAGCATCTACTAAATCATTGCAAATCCTGTCCACATATCATCATCATCTAAGCCTTATCCCATCAACTATATGGGAATCAGGTACCTGAATCCTGTATCGCCATTTCATTCTATTTAATGCCAAATCCATTTTAAAAAGTTCTGTCAATATATCTGGGTGACCTAGCAAGCTTACTGGATGCTTGGCAACATAGTTTTCAAGGCATCTAGGCGATTCTGGGCGACACTGGGGCGCCTAGTCGCCTAGGCGATAAAAATTTTATAATATGAATTTTGGCTAGTTTCCTAGTTTAATATACCATTCAGCATGTATGTTAATTGAAAAATAGCAATTCTCTTTATTAAGAACATTAAATTTCCTCTAAAAATGTGGCAAATCATCACATCCAAAAGATAAAAATCTTTTACATATATTAATTTCATTATTTTCAAAAATAATACTACTATAATAAGTATTTAATAGAGCAAATGCATACTAATTAGCAGCTAAAGAAGGTTATTAACTTTATATGATAAATATTCAAGATGGAAAGTAAAATAGAAAAAAAAAAACAAGGATGGAGTTTCTGTTTTATTTAATTAGAGAGAGAATAGAAAAAAAGAATTTTATTATTCTATTGTTTCTTTCCCCTTTTCTTTTCTTTCTTTCTTTCTCTTCTCAAAACCCTTTGATCTTTTAAATTTCAATAGTAAAACATTAAAACAAAATATAATTGATATATATAGCATATAATAAAATGTATTAACACATACATTAATAAGATACAGCAATATAAATGATATTATAAAAGGCGCCCACTGTCATTTTTGTCGCCTAGGCAGGCGCCTAGTCGCCCTTGACAACTATGCTTGGCAACTTGGCTGTTGAAAGGTTAACAACCTTGTGGAATCTAACCCCTTCTGTAATATGTTGCTGTGTGGAAAGATAGAAATTTCAGGATACGGGAAGAAACATGATGGTCAAGCCTTAGTAGGGGAGGGAGGAGGATTGTGGGACAAGGTTTCTGAAGGGCAAGAGGAAGTATTAGATGGAGAGTAGAGGTGGTGGTGTTGGAAGAGGGTGTGTGGGGGAATGAAATTGGCAATTTGGAAGATAGTATTTTGTTCTTTCATAAATTTTAGAGTTGAGAATCTGATGGAGAGCTTATGTTAAATTGGTTGTGAAGTTGTTGTTCTAGGAGATTTTCTTTTTTGACAAGGTCACAGAAGGGCAAGAGGAGGTATTAGATGGAGATGAGTAGTGGCGGTAGTGTTGGAAGGCAGCAGGGGGATTGATATTGGCAATTTGGAAGATGATATTTTGCTTCTTTCGTATGTTTTAGAGTTGAGAATCTGATGGAGAGCTTGTGTTAAATTGGATGTGAAGTTGTAGGAGTTTTTCTTTTTTTTCTTTGTCGGATGTTGAGAGTGTTTTGTTCAAGGTGTTACCTTAGCACCTTAGAGGGGTTTGTAATCAATTTCTTTTTTTTTTTTGGTCTTTAATGAAATTTCTCTTTTACCATAAAAAAAAAAGAAACAGGAGGTTCAAGGCTTACATGATGATGATGATGATGATGATCTAGTTTTTCTTTCTATTCCTTGGGTAAGTAATTATTCTCTCCATTGGCATTTCTAACAACTAAAAATGTCCCTTGTTTTGCGACCTTTCATTAACCTGCCTTTAGTTGTAGCAATGTACATGTTAGCTAATCTTCTATGTTAAGGGCCCGCGAATAG